CCTCACCTATACACATACGCAAACCTGCCCATGCAACCATCTACCTACCATTCAGGACCAACTGCAGCTCCCGCCGCAGTACCGCATGGAGTATTTCCTCACACTCGATGAGGTAGAGACTAACGTCTATCAAGAGGTGTGTGTTATATGAGGTAGAGACTAGCGTCTATCAAGAGGTGTGTGATATATGAGGTAGAGACTTGCGTCTATCAAGAGGTGTGTGTTATAAGAGGTAGAGACTAGCGTCTATCAAGAGGTGTGTATTATATGAGGTAGAGACTAACGTTTATCAAGAGGTGTGTGTTATATGAGGTAGATACTAACGTCTATCAAGAGGTGTGTGTTATATACCTACAGCAACAGTAGGAGAACGTATCACGGAGCACAGGTTAACACACTGTAAGATATAGATAATATAGTTGGGAACTTTGCTGGAATATGGTTTGTATAGATAATATAGTTGGAAACTTGGGATAAGTATTACTTTGGGATATGTTTTATATAGATAATATAGTTGAATACTTTGGGATATGTATTACTTTGGGATATGTTTTATATAGATAATATTTTTGAATACTTTGGGATATGTATTACTTTGGGATATGTTTTATGTAGATGTTATAGTTGAATACTGTATGGAATATGTATTACATTGATAATATACGTGGTGACTATGGTATGAATTGCAGCTCTTACGTAAAATGTCTGTTGCAGGGGAAGTATGACCTAGAGTTGATTACAGAAGACACCACACTGCACCCAATACATACACCTATCAAGTGTGTGTGTACGCTATCTGACTTTAGTGCCTATCTTTCTGTCTCTAACTATAGGTGTACAGCATTACTTGCACTTAGCAAGTGTGTGTGTTCATGTAACACATACCATTAGCAAGTGTGTGTGCACTACCTAACGTGAGTGCACACCCCTTGTCCTGTACAGGTAGTGGGTGATGTGCGTAAGGCGTTGGCTAAAATCTCCACAGACACCAACGGATCTGTTAGCACAGGAGAGCATCTGTCATCACTACTGCTGAGGCTGAGACAGGCGTGCGTGCATCCGCAAATGGGCGTACATGGGAGGGGGAGGTATGTGTTGTGTGTGTGTTTATTACATGTTTATGCATGTACGTTTATGTGTATTTGTTTATATTGGTATATAGATTTTAAAACGTATTTTGGGTCTTTCTTATGTTAG